TTAGAGAACAGGTGATGTGAGGCTCTGTAATTTGTAAAGACATTTTATTATTTTGAGCTGTATAATTTATAATTCTGTGGCTTTGAGGGGAGATCAGGTAGTTTGAGGTTCAAAGCAAATCAGTCTGACGGTAATTGCCAGGGATTTAAAAAAAAAATTTTTTTTATACTCTCTTTAATGTTGTTCTTTTATCAGATTCTCAAGTCGATATTTCATCCTTTATGTAATTCCCCCCTCAGTTCAGTGCTGGGTAGTTCTGAAAAAAGTTTACCGAAAATGTAATTATTTCCCATGTCCTTAAAAGTTTGGTGATTGCTAAAAAGTAGTAGTACACAGTGTGCAAAGTGACAGAGAGAAGATAGATAGATAGATAGATAGATGTATACTTTATTCATTCAGAAGTTAAAGTCTGAAGTAGTGACGAGCTCTGCGATACCATAATATCAGCTCAGAGGACTCCAGCTCTACAGATGGATGGACTGAGACACAATAACACGGGGTCCTCCTCGGATATTGCAGGATTCTTTAGCTTGTATGTGCTTTCTGCACAATTACACTTCAGGACAGAAGAGAGGCCATGATAAGAGGGAAGCTGTGTGTGTGTGTTATGGCTTATGTTTGTGTGTTTGTGTTTACAACTTGCAGTTGGAGAAAGTGAACTTGTCAGCAGCACAGATCCTGAGAGCAGCCGTTATAAAGGTAACAATGTTTTATTTTGTTTTCTTGTAATAACTGAGCTCATATTTATCATAAATAGTCGTTATCTGTCATCTGCGGATTATATGACGAAGGCTGACTGTGATTACTGTCAGTTCAGCTGCATGTTGTTTGTGTTTCAAGGCAGAGAAGGAGAACCCCGGTCTGACCCAGGACATTGTTATGAAAATACTGGAGAAGAAGAACATAAAAATCGACTATAACGAGTCTCTGCTTCGCATGGCTGCAGACGATGTGGAAGGTAGGATGCCCGGTGAACAGCGCATACAAAGAGAGGAGGGGGGAGTTCCCACAGCGGGTCAATAATTAGAAAGGCATATTAAACTGGTCAACATGAACTTCCTGCCAGGACACGCACATCAGTGCCACTTCAGCAAGCGGCATGATCACCGACCTGGCTTCACTTGGGTTTCTGTTGTGCCCGTCCTCCATTCTACCAATCATCCACCAGGGGGAGCTGTTTCTCCACAAATCAGCCGCTCTCTCCCTTTTCTTGAGCGGTCCTTCCTTTCTGTCTGTAATTGAATTCCTTGTGCGGCGTACAGTGATTGATGGTAGTAATGAATACACACACTTTAGATGAATTTTAAATGTACCTCCTGCATGGTACAGCCCAATCCTTTCTCCAGTTAAGACACGAAACACCTTCACTTTAAAGCGCGTGCACACGTTCACACATTCACACTCCATCCTGTATTTAATCGTATGCATTTGCAGTGTTGACCACCATTATTGATTGCTTAATCTCAGTGTTTCCTGAAGCTGATTGCACGCGCGTGTGAGTTTGTGATCTGTACTTTTTCTCTCCCTCCTGGTGTTTGCAGAGTTCATGATTGACAGGCGGGAGCCAGAGTTCCAGGAGCTGAACGAGAGAGCCCGAGCTCTGAAGCACATCCTCAGCACCATACCGGATGAGATCAATGACCGAGTAGGCTTCCTACAGAGTATCAAGTAAGACAGCTCCGTGTGTGTGTGTGTGTGTGTGCGTGTGTGTGCGTGTGTGTGTGTGTGTGTGTGTGTGTGTGTGTGAGAGTGTGTGAGAGAGTGATATACACCAGGTTTAACTCCATATGAAAGTTTTCACTCATAACTTCCTGTGTTAATTGTAAACACTGCCAGGAAATGTCTCCAGATGACTTTTGCCAACTATTCCAACGTGATAAAAATGTTTTTCGTTCACTGTTAATTGTTTGGTGCCAAGACAAAAAGATTTGATACAGCATGCGTCTTTGTGATGAACACCCTCATTGCATGAAAACCAACAGATTGTTTTTTGTGAGGCACATTTTGGACGAGGCACAATTGAATACAAAGTCAAAGAGAAGACACGAGTGGGTGCGAATAGATGCAAATTCATTCTATGCAGCAAAATGGAACAAAGACGAGTTGAACATCTTTTCAATAGTTCCTTGGGGAGTTATGAGATCCAAACAAACAAACGATCACATGCACACTCCACACACTTGACGTCAGTGCAGACGCTGCTAGCGAGAGCTAACGTGTGAATAAACACGGGGAAATAGAGTTCATTTGGGACCTTGGCAACAGCTGCGTTTCAAAATAATGTTGCATGAACCAAATTTTAAAAAAATCAAATAGTTGATCTTATTTCTAGACATTTCTTTGTATGTTGTGGATTGTAATGACTAAATTATAAGGTCCCTGCATGCCATTTTATTTCTTTGTTCATCGTGCTGTATAGACTAAAGAGAGAAAGTGAAAGTCGTTTCATTTTCCTGGCCCATTTTGCCATTATTTTTTATCGAATTCAATACTCTTAGTGAGTCACTGCTTAAGTTACTTACCCAGCAGAGGGCTTAGAAAATGACGTAAATTCTAAAGGACCGCTAAAAAATGAAAAGTTATGAAACGGCAGATTTCGAGTGCACGCCAGGAGAAGAAGGTGAAAGCGTGCTCGTGAGAGAAACGTGGAAGAAAGGGAAGACAGTGTGCAGGATCAAGGAGCTGTGGTTATCAGGGTATCGCTGCCTGACAGATTGTGAGATATTGTTTTTCCTGCTCTTATTTGTGTGTGTGTCATCGTGTCATCCTCAGAGACATCGCCAGTGCCATCAAGGAGCTGCTAGACACCGTTAATACCGTATTCAGGAAATACCAGCATCGGAATAGACGGGTGAGTAGATACATGAAGAAGAAGAAAAGCATTCGCACACAAATGTAGTATCTGTGAAATAAGTGGAGCTGAAAGGCTGTCTGTTTTTATTGGTTAGGTGCTGGAACAGCAGAAGAAAGAGTTTGTGAAATACTCTAAGAGCTTCAGTGTCACTCTCAAAACCTACTTCAGAGATGGAAAGTATGACATGTTTCTACTTTATTCTCAGTTTTAGGAGTTTTTTTTCTGTCTGTTTTTCTTCCTTTTCCGTCCTCTCACTCACTCATTTTATTTTTCACATGCACACACACAGCTACCAACACATTTAATAGCTGCACCCGCACATGCCAGCACACACACACACACTCTCTGCCACCACCGTATAAATGGTTGTCGTTTGATCACAGGCCCGCTTCTATCAAATCCACCATTGCTGAATAATTCCCTTGACCCATTTCCTGTGGATTCACGCTGGCTTGTATTCTCTGAAGCCTGACATTCTCCATTCCAGTCACATCAAAGTGTTCCTCGGATCAATCCTAATATTGTTGCCATGGTTTCTTTGCCGTATGATTGACTCGTATGTCCTTGTGTCTCTGTCACGCTTGTTTCCAGAGTGATAAACGTGTTTGTCAGCGCCAACCGGCTCACCCACCAAACCAACATGATACTGCAGGCCTTCAAGACTGTGGTGTAGCAGCCTGAGAGGGGACACGCGCGCGCGCGCGCGCACACACACACACACACACACACACACACACACACACACACACACACACACACACACACACACACACACACACACACACACACGCGCGCACACACAGATGTTTTTATTAGAGAACAGGTGATGTGAGGCTCTGTAATTTGTAAAGACATTTTATTATTTTGGGCTGTATAATTTATAATTCTGTGGCTTTGAGGGGAGATCAGGTAGTTTGAGGTTCAAAGCAAATCAGTCTGACGGTAATTGCCAGGGATTTCTTTATATCTCTTTTATGTTCTTTTATCAGATTCTCAAGCAGATATTCCTTGGTTCCGTTATATATACCCCCCCCCGTCAGTTCAGTGCTGTGTGGTTATGGAAAAAGTTTAGGAAAATGGGATTATTATTATTATTATTATTATTATTAAAAGTGCAAGGGAAATAAGCAGTATCCCAAACGTCTTCCCACATTTTTGCACTTTTACTCATTTTATTCTAATTTTTGTAGTGTAAAACATAATCATGATCTATATGGTGGTATTATGTACTTATCTTATGCTTCTGTCAGCTTACTTCATATTCGTCCACTATATATATTTTGAAGGATAGGTGATGGAGGTGAAAAGTCTTAGGATAATGACCCGATCCTACGCTTATTTGGAAGAACTATACTATGTACTGGGGATGTGTATGTCAGTTTTTTGCTGCATCAGCTGTTTTTTTCTTCTTCTTGGGACCTTTTAAACAACATCTTCTTGTGACACGAGGTGTGAGCGGTTCAATCGCATTGATTTTTCCTTCTCTGTTTAATTTAAAGGATTTTTACAGAACTGACGTGTTTGAAGGTTTTTCACGAGGAAAAAGCTCGATCAAGTCTTTTGTGAATTTCCTTTTTTTGTCCTTCATTTATACAAAATGAAATGTTCTTGAAACAATGTATTGTTGCTGGTGGAATTGTATTTTCCTCCTTTTGTAAATGTGACATGCATGGCACTGACACATCTCCAGTAAAGCTATCCCGCCATTTGATCAGAGATTTATTTTCAGCATCTATTCAGTCACGGAAACAACTCCTTTTGTTTTGTACCAAGATCTCATAAAGGGAAGCGCTGCAAACCTAGAGTCCAAAACCGGTTGGTTCGTAGAGTCCATAGTCAGAAGTAGTTAAAAGTCATTTCAGCAGAAGTAGACAAGTTGGGTACAACAGAGGAAGTTACAGAACTTTAATAATTGTTGTCAGACTGACAAAGTGGAACACTTAAACTGGGAACACCCAATCCTAAACTGATGGTTAGTGACTTATTCATTTTCATCCAGATTTCAAAGGAGCAGCAGATCTTGAGTAATTGAATCTTTCCTTTTTTAAACAAATGTAATCGACAATGAATGTATCTTTTCTGTCTCTTATTCTTCCATGGCCACAGCAAAATAACTTCAACCAAATGTAAATAAAAATGTCTCAAGAACTCTTCAACGAGAGTCACAAAGAGTGTGTTGAAAAAGCATTTTCTTTGTTTTATTGGAAACTGAAGAGTTCTGTCATTTGAGGAAGACTTTGTAAAGTGGGTCTGTGTTCACATTTGCATTGTTGTATGAAAGTGCTTCATTTCTGCTCAGTTGCCCCTTGCGCTCTCTTTCTTCGCGTGCACCTCTTTTCCTCCCAGTACTTCATTCTTCTCCCGGTATAATAGTGGATTTTCCACGGTGGATTTGTGGAGGGCTATTTTGGGCTCTATACTGGCTCTTACATGCACCACTGTAATCCAATTGTGATAGTGTTAATTTTTTAAAGCTTTATTATTGAAATTGCTGAGACCTAATTTTCCCATCCTGTCACCGGTTGACGACCGCTGTAATCAGCTAATTCGAGTTATTCCGGGCCATTAAGTGACTCGCGGGGCTCGGCCGTGGTCACTGAAGCAGCGGGGAGGGAAACGATAATATCTCTGCTGGATGTATAGCTTTTGTATGCGCTCGCGCTTGCAGTCATACAGGCAATCTATTTGTCTCAGTTTGAAAACAAAACATCCTTGGAAAACTTTATTTTTTTTCCTCGTGTGTGTGTGTGTGTGTGTGTGTGTGTGTGTGTGTGTGTGTGTGTGTGTGGCGCTACGAGCGACCCACAGGAAGTCCTCTCAAAGGCATTTGAATGGCACTATAAAGCGTCGGTGGTGTGTGTGGTTTATTTGTGTTCAGGTCTGGGTTCACATCGGTACTTTACTACTTGTTTCAATGCATGAACACTTTTATGAGTGGCAGTGGAATACTAATGTTCATGTGAATTATGTTACTGTAGCAATGGTGTGTGTGTATCTGGGTTGTACTATTACACAAAGATTATCTTCTCTCCAGTGCCTAATCTGTGAATAGAAGTAACGCGCACACACAAACAACACATTGTGTTACATGCAGGCGACAGGGCGTGGACTCACAAACGCCGCTCTTTTTGACTACTTGGTTGCCAGGAAACTTAGCCCGAGTCTTTGAGAGTGAGGGATAATAAAAGAAAAGAATTGTGTGTGTGTGTGTGTGTGTGGGGCCTCTGCCACTGTCTGGGCTATTAGGGGTGGGGGGCAGTTGGTTAACTCTCTCTGGGTGTGTGTCTGTGCCGCAGCCAGGGCTGTTAGCACTGATTGCGTCTCTAAGACAAACCTCTGGACACGAAGAATCTGCTCCGGACCAGACCCAGCTCAAGGCCCAGATGAACCAACCGGAGGCTGAGGATCTGTTTGAAATGTCACACATTTAATAATGGCGTTCCAGCACCTCACAGCATGGGGACTGGGTACTGAGAGGAGGAAATTGGTCGTCTTGGTAAGTTTGAATTTGTTATTAACTGAGAAACTATATGGACTTCATGATTAACAACCTGCTTGACTGAAGTGTGTCTACACACTGGAAAGGTAACGACTAACTTGACAGTGAAGTTGACTGCACCTGAAGGGGCCATTTAGGAAGAAGGCATCTCTGGTAAGTGGGTTTTGTTTGCCAACAGATAAAACGGCACAATATTATATTTTTTTTATTTGAGTTACCTTGTGGAATTTACACAATTGAGAGCGGTTCCGTAAATGACAGTGCGCAGCATTTATATGTTGGATATGTTTTACATTCGTTCAGACAGCAGTCATATCTCTTCATTTCATAGACCTGTGTTACCTCTTAAAAGGCGATATGTCTTTTCCTTTGTTACATCTGTTGCAGTCTAATACTTGTCAGTGTAAATTAAGAGGTGAATAAGCTCATAATTATATCAAGATCACACTGTAGTTAATCAGCACTATTTAAAAAAAAAAAAAAAAAAAAAAAAGATGCAGCAAAGCCTTGTTTTTTTTGCTTTCATTTGCACACCCTGTCATCTAAAGCTCAGCTCAGCCTCAGTTTGATGCCGCTTCCAATGAATTTGTCTCATAAACGTTTATGTCGGGCTGGAAATGAAACGGTGTGTTTGCTATCTTCTCCCCTCTGTAGTGTTTTTATGAAACTTTCTCATCATCTCACATTTCTCTCATAGACCTCCAACTGGCTTTTAATCACCACACAGGCTCATTTAACAAATTCTACCTTTTTTATTCAGGCTGCTCACCTACCTAACTCCGGTATTTTATCACCTGACATAACACAGACTCGACACGCTTCTGCAACCTGCCGCCTCCTCCAACCATTCCCAAGACATCGCACGGGGGACCTATTCACCCACCTTTGAAAGCCACTGAACGGGCGGGGGCATTCTGTTGAAACGTGTGGATAGAGCCAACAAAAGAAGTCTGCTGCTGCTGTGACTCTGCCGTATGATTACGGTGACAGGACAACCTGCTGTGAAACAGATATAGATGGTTACTAAGGGATTACTGGAGCTGGGAACATCGTGTTTTGTCATGTAACACCTAGAAATGTGGGGAATCTATTATTTGACTGCGAGTCTTCAGCACGGACTGGCATACACGCGCTTCACCTTCCTGACCTTGTGCTCGTATGTTGGTGAATGATTGACAGGTCTGAGCTGTAGCCATGGGGACGAGGATGGAGGTGTCGCAGCTTGAGAGCAGGATGGACACCGAGGACTACAGGAAGCTGCAGGGCCTCTTCCTGGTGAGGGTTTTTTCTTTGTCAGTTTATCAATATTACAACACGGTTAATTCACACTGGAAACACTCAAGTGTTGGAGTTTATTCTGTATTCTTTGTTTACCAGTAGTGTCCCATAGCACCACACCTCCAGGTCTCAGAAGAAATGCCTTAAAGATCAGAGAAGAGTCTGCAGCACTATGTGTTTGAATGCTGTCTATCTGTGAGCTGACGTTGTGCAACGCCTCCCGTCTCCTACAGGACCCCTCGGGTTCACCTCGCTCCTTGTCCAGGACTGAATTCGTCAATCTGGCTTGGTCGTCAGTTGGCCGGGGCTCCGAGGAGGAATACGGCCTCCTGTTTGACGGCGTGGTTGTCACTCAGGAGCACCGCGGCCTCCTTCTGGACATCGACGCCGTGAAGGAAGAGGGACGTGTCGACTGGGGAGGCCTGTGCTCGTTTCTGCTACTGGAGCTTTCTGATAAAGTGAAGAACACGAGCACCAGTCGCGTACCGCGCTGGAAGCCGCCACGCACGTTGACCTGTCCACACCGAGACCCGGTTCAAAAGGTAAAAGGACCTCCTTGGAGGCTTAAGAGAAGAAGAGTTCATTATGAGGGTTGGAACATGTTGCCCATTTTAACCATTATGATCTATTGCAGCATGTTATCTGAAAAACATTCTGACATTGACTGACTGGAGAGCCCACAACTATGCTGACTGGGTGGAATTCCACATTATTAAACATTGTGCGAGGAAAAGTTCGAAAGTATTAGGGTCTTGCTCATCAGAATGGCCCACCTCTTTTGAGATAAATGGCTCTGGACTCTTTTAAGTTTAACATCTATCAATTAATATGTAAATGAAGCTGCCGGTATAAAGTGCCTACCGCTGTGGAGAAAGTGATGGCTCACCACTTTAATCTTTCAATCCTCAGAATGTCAAACTGTCAGGATGTTGTGTAAGTTGTTTTCAAAATGGCTGGAAGGTTTTGACCCCTTGAGCTTCGATCAGTCTTAAAGAGGCAGACAGACTAATGGGGCTTAGAAGACTAATTGCAGTATGAAACAATGTCAGTAAAGGGTGGCAGAACTTAAGCAGGGCAGTGAAAAATATACAAAAACTTTCAGTTAATATACCGGGGTCTCTATATTGTAAGCTAAACGGGAATCTCCCATTAACAGTAGAATTTGAGCATTTTTACCAGGATAAAGCAATATTTATTACAGCTTCAGTGACACAAAAATGGGAGCAGGTTTTTAACTCTCACTAAAACAATCTCCCTAATGGGACAGGCTAGCTTAAAAAGAATGGGCGGGACTTTCGCTCTTCATCACAAAGGCAGTCACACGGAATGAGACTGAATGAGAATTTGCAGTAAATGTCAGTTTTAAGAAAAATCCAAAAATAAATGCAAGCAATACACAGCAGGTAAAATGCCAGTGGTCCATGAGAAAATAATTCGCCAGATGCTCATCGTAGCAGTGACTCACCAGCTGTTGATAAATGGGTAATTAGAGATAAATGCATGACACGCCAATCTGAGAGGTTCTATGAAGTCGGCGGTTGGCTGTGAGAAAGTGAAACAGTCTGCAGTAATTACATTGATACTACATCTAAGCCCTGACCTCTCTTCTGTAAGTGTTAATAAACCTCTTCTTTCATTAACGATATTCAATGTCTCTTTCTCTTCGTACAGTCAGCTCCAGCCTTTTTTTTTTTTCTGCTGCTCTCGTTTTTTTTTTCTTCTTCTTCTTCTTGTGGCCGAGCCAATAAAATGGCGTCATTCATTAATCCTTTTTGTTTTATTAGTTTCTACTCGCATGCTTCCAATAAGAGGAAGATTTAGGGCGGAGCTCATGTTTGGTGAAGTTTTTCTAGTGCAGTTTTATGGCTAAAGATCCGCAACTTTCCACCGAGCTATTTTAATCTTAAAGGCCGTAGCCTCCATTTGACTAATTAATGTCACAATAAAATGTTACAAGCTGCGTCACAAAGAGCACTAAAGCTGCTCTGAAGGTCAATTTTGCAAAAGTGTTACAGTTAAAGTCTTTCTGTTTGCTTCGCCCCCAATCCAATTTGTCCAGGTTAAATGTAGTTTTGTGATGTCCTCTGGTCTCCCCAGCTGTTGCACCTGCAGAGTTCAGGTCAGTATCTGACCGTGAGTAAAGGAGGAACTGTGTGTCTGCGGGACACAGACGATATGTCCCTCCTGCACACACATCGACTGGAAAACAGCACGGTCTCACCCAAAGACCTCTGGGTCACCGACGTGGTGCTGCTGCACAACGTGCACAAGGTGACTTTCACTTCTACAAAGTCCCACAGCGAGGCTTCGTCAGTCAGTCTAATTATTGATTTGGTGTCCTGGTTGTGTTGCCACATTTTGGGTCCGTAGCATAGTTTACACACGAAAAAAATGTTATGGTAGGAATCAGTTAAATGAATTATTGATATGTAGTCTGAGTTATTGGGGCAGATATTGTACTGCGCAGAGGTAAACAAGTGTTTCACTCAATCAATTAATTATTGATCAGAGGTTTTGGTTAATGGCATTGCAGACATGAAGCCGTTGCATAATGTTTAGAAAATAAACGTTCATTTTTCAGTAATAAGACAGTTAATTATTGAACAGCACACTTTCCGCGAGCAATTCTTTAATCAACAGATTTGTGGGTGACGGATATAATTCTGTTGTATAACACACATGAGAATGCTCCAGTTATGCATCAATTATCAGTCAGGGAATTTGTTACATTGTTTTTATTTCATACTGATGAAAAGAACTGTATGCATCTCTGTTTCTAATTCATTTTTCACTCTGATAGCAGATAGCTGTGTCGTTCACAAGTAAGGAGGTGTGTTTTTATGACATTCTGTCAAAACAGGACTTTGGGTGCAAGTATAAACTACAGGTAACCGATCCATAGTATACATGTATGTATATGTATATGTATGTATGTGTGTATGTATGTATATGTATGTGTATATGTATGTGTATATGTATATGTATATATATATATATATATGTATGTATGTGTATATGTATATACTGTATATGTGTGTATGTGTGTATGTGTATGTGTGTATATATATGTGTATATATATATATGTGTATATATATATGTGTATATATATATGTGTGTATATATATGTATGTGTGTATATATATATGTGTATATATATATGTGTATATATATGTATATATATATGTATGTGTATATATATGTATGTGTATATATGTATGTGTATATATGTGTATGTGTATGCATATATGTGTATATATATGTATATATGTGTATGTGTATGCATATATGTGTATATATATGTATATATGTGTATGTGTATATATATGTATAT